TGCCAGGCCTCGCAGCTTATAACTGGCAGCTTAGCAGTGCTTCACCTGGCTGAGTGCCCAGCTGGGGGACAGGAGACTGGTCCAAGGTGTGACTGCGGGTGGCCCTGCCGAGTGGAGGGAAACCCAATGGCAGAGACAAGGGCCCAGTGAAATACCCCAGTTAAAGCCCTGCAACGGCCTCCTGTTGTTCTCCGTATGAATCCAAGTCCTTTCCCTGGCTTCTTTCACCATGTTCTGCTCCCTGTCTACCTCTCTGGGCTTGGACCTCTTCTGTCCTTCCTTTCACTCTTTGTGCCAGGCAGCAGAGGGAGGATTTTCTTGCCTGCCTTTGCTTTTGTCTCCAGACCTGTGCCCTCTTGCTGGAGCTTGGAGAGAGCTTCCTTTAATGCCATCTCAGAGTTGGCCATGATAGGGTGTTGTCCAGGCCCGTGGAGAGAGCAGCATGGCTGAAGGCCAGCATGGACCTCCTACTGGAGTGTGGTGCTGGGGGCAGAAACCTCCTGGATCAGGGCTAGGAGCCCCTGGAATTCACCGACCCTGAGGTTCTCCGAGCCCTGTCAGGCCTGCTGGCTGCTGCTGCTCCAACACTGGCTGCTCCCTTTCTCCCCACGGCCAGCCTGGTGGCCATTGTGGCCAGCCACGGTGCAGAAGAAACTTCCCCAATGTTATCCTCTTACAACTTCAGGTAGCTGCTAAAACATTAGCGCATCCCACCTAAATTACACTTGGACCTCTGTATACTTTGGAAAAACAGTGATCAAAACATGAGACACTTAAGAAGGTTGTGAATTCCTCATCCCAGGAGATAGTGAAGAAATATAGTAGATTGGAGTTATGGGGACACACATGACAGAACTTTTAAGGAACTTTCCAGCTCTGAGGTGCTGTGACTTGCAGTCACAGCGTCTGACATGTAGTTATCATCTTTCTTGGAACCTCAGGGACACCAGACTGATGTGAAGGAAACCGACCATGTTATGGGGCACTGGGCTGCGTCCTGCAGTCAGAGGGATTATGCTCTCTGACCAGGCTTTTCGTCTCTCAGCAGGGCTTTGGGGATATTTAATTCTGGAAACGTTCCCATGGAAGTCCTATGTTACAATGTGGACAGGACGGCTTGAGATGCTGGTCTATAAATGGTTGATAAAATGGAAGGCTTTTGGATGACTCCTGTTTATGGACTGGAAATTCGGAAGGCCGGGATGAGGCGCTGGTTGGACACGTGCAGAGTGAGTCAAAGGAACCCTGGTGGAGCCAGGCTCAGAGCCAGCGGGAGTGAAGGGGTCTCTCCGACCACTCCCTCCTCCTGCGGTTCAGAGGGAGGTCCGTGCAGCTCTCTGTGTGGCTGGGTGGCTTCATCTGCACTCTGCCTGCATCCACTGTTTACCGTGACTTTGAACAAATGGCCTAACCTCTTCTTGTGAGTGTCTCCTCTGTACACTGAAGCTGACATCGCCTCCTTCCAAGGTTGCTGTGGTCACTAATGAACGACAGCATGTGAGGGAATCTGACACACAGTGGGGCTCAGCACAAGTCCACCCCTCTACCGCCTCTTCTCTGCATCTTGCATCTTACTCTTGTCCATGACCCAGCCCGGGTGTCACTGCCTCTGAATGCTTTCCTTGACCCTTCTAGGCCCATGTGAGTCAGTTTTCCTTCAAGCTCCAAAAGCACTTGGTACTTAGCAAGAGGAGGGATATTCTCCACAGCACTTCTGTTGTGCTTGTGATGGTATAGATGTCTGCATTTCCAGCCTCACTGTAAGTGTCTCTAAGCGAAGGGACCTGCTGAAATTACATTTGTAAACCAGGCCCTACCACAGTGCTTGGAACATAAAAAGGCTCCGGGTATTTCCACTGAGTGGCCATAAGAACTGGTGATAGAAAAATAACCAACCAAAAAAATATTTTGGCATGATAAAGAGAAAGAAAAAGAAGGATGCACAAGAAAAGGATGCTGAAGACACAGATGGAGGCTGGGTTGCGTGGCAGGTAGAGCTGATGCACCCTCACCAGGGCACCAGCCATTTGCCAGGTGCCCAAAGAGTCATTCTCTTTTTCTCGCAGCTCCTCTGTACGTACTGGGGCAAGACTCAGCCACTGGCATTTTAAATTATTGTCTTCTGCCTGGGCTCTCCATCTTGGAAAGATTTTAACTTTTTTTCTATCTTATATGATATATTTTTTAAATAGAGAAAACAAACTTCTAGTGAATTCTTGTGTAGCTTTCTATCTGTATGTTCCATGTGACCTCCCATCTATCCACAATCAATGACTCATGAGGTCTACTATGTGTGGGCATTGCTGAATACTGAGGTGTAGACACACACTAGGCAGGGTTACTGCCTTCAAAAGCTCAGCATCTAATAGTGGAGAATGATGCTTTGGCCTTCAATGTCCACAAAAGTGGGCTCCAGAAGGAATTTCATAGATGCCCCTCTTTACCTGATGAAGCTGAATGGTTTTCACTTGTAACAAAACCTAAGTCAGGTATCAGAGATGGTAACTGTACTCTTCTATTTCAGCCATTTGTCCCAAACCCAGTGAGAAATGGACCTGGGCATCAAGTAGGGATGGAGAGCTGATTTCCACTCCCGGAGGAAGCCGTCTGGACTGGAGTCCACGCAGTTTCACGCACTTCCCTCTGAATGAGATGGACCTGGAGGCCCAGCCTCAGTGGTTCACTTCCGCTTTGTGGGAGGAACATAAAATAGAACACAAATTTCCATGGGCAGCTGGACCCAAAATGGGAAAGGCCACGGCGGGAGGAACTCTGGACGTGAACTCGTCCTAGGAGAGGAATGTGCACCAATGGAGCCCCCACTCTCCATTCACTGAAAAGATATACAAGGAATGTTTGGGAGGAGGAAGTAACGGTTAGGGTAAAGAGATGCAGAGAGCTACAAGGCTGAGCGTTTGAAGCGTTTGTGCTGGAACAGAGGGAGCCGGTCATTTCAGGTGTTGAAAGCTTACCTGAAGTCTACTTTTGCTTAAAGGTTAGTTCCTTGGTGTTTAGAGAGCAGAGGGCAGGATCAGATCTATCTGCACATGAAGAGGAAGGAATAAGAGAGAGAAACCACTTAGGATTCAGAGGCCCAGTGGGAGAGCGTGCTGGGCTGGGGAGGGCCTGTCAGTGACATCACAGGCCAAGATCCGTCCTCTGTCTGCCTTGTGCTCCAAGCAGCCTGGTTGTGTAGGGGTGCTGATGCCCAGCTGAGGGGAGCATGCAGGCTGTGCCCTGGCTGAAAATGGGCCCCCAGGCCCTGGGGATGAACGCTGCTGTCTTGTGCACCAGGGTGGGTGGACTGGCAGCACCACCATCTGCCACCTTGCCTGGAATGTTCAGCAGCGTCTCTGACAGTCTGCGGGAGGCTGGCTTCGCCTGGCTTGGCCTTACACAGTGTGGCTCCAGATCGCTCCTCAGTCATCCTTAGTTCAGAGAAGTCAGAGGAGGAGGAATTAATTAGCATCCTTGGGGTGCCTCTCCCAGGCCGGGCTGACACTTGCAGGTGGAATGTCAAGGTTCCTAATGACCGTCGGGATGTGACATTTGACTCTCCTGATGAGGGCCAGTGGGTTGGAGTGAAAAGCTCAGGGACTGACAGAGACATTCGCTTCCCATGACAGTGAGGGGGAGATTCCAGGTCTTGGTGGGCAAGGGCAAACTTCCTGCTGCCTGGGACGGGGTCAATCCATTCAGGGCATCAGCGGGCCGGGCCCCTTTTTGGCTCCTCAGAGGACCGATCATCTTCTCTTGAGCCCGAGGATCCTGTTCCTCTCAGGCTGGGCTGATTCCTTGCCTACAGAGAAGGAAGCCAGTTCTGTAGGGTGACTGTGAAGCCGAGTGCTGAGGTGTGGGAGCAGGGTTATAGTCGAAGCCTGCCCAAGGACACCTGCCACGGATCCTGGATGCCACACATTTCATTGTTCCCGTTAGTTAAGCAATTGTATTTTAAACTTCCTTTAAAATATGTACCCCTGCTTTGAGAGGGCAGCTCCTTGGGACTGATTCCTTAGCCGCAGGGGTTTGCAGTCAGCTTGGGAGCCTCACAAACTCCGGGGTCTTGTCCCATTGCCGACCATGATTTCAGGCTCTGGAATAGAGCTGGCCGGAGCACAGAGGGCAGTTTTAAAACTCTCCCTGTGGAAATCTGATGTATGCCAAAGTGAAGCAACATTGCCTTAAAGAAATAGGACACTGAACAGGTTAGCTGCCCTAGAAAGATCACAGGGGGAGAGAGAGAGAGAGAGAGAGAGAGAGAGAGAGAGAGAGAGGCAGAGACATCAGAGAGCCGCAGGGCATCTATGGATTTTATTTTAACAATCTTCTACCAAACTCACACTACAGCTGTTCCTATATTTAGTGATTTGCTTTTAATAAATATACCTCAGTCTTAGAAGTAAGATGAGTATAGATAGGATGGACCTAAGAAGGTATTTCCCAGCAGGCAACTGGGAATTCACCAAAGGCTGTGTGGATGATCCTAGAATGGCAGAGGCGTTGGTTCATTTCATCTTTAAGACAGTCCTGATTATACACAAATTCATTCTTTTGATATAGGAATTTTATTAAATAAAAAATTATTGTTTAAAAATTTGTCAGTGTTTTAAGGTGGATAAATTGACAACTCAGCTAAAGCTTTGTTTTTTAATTAATTAATAATTAATTTTGGCTTCTTTTTTCCAACCCTCTGGTGTGCTATGGCTTTGGGTTTGGAAGGTGCTCAGGTGGCCTGCAAGGACAGTGCTGGCCGCTCCACTGACACAGTTAACTCAGTGCTTGGCCCTTTGGCCTGAGCCGCTTCTCTTCTGCCCCAAAGTAGAAAGTGTGATTGCAGAAGAGGAGCCTGGTACCAGCACCGGGAAATCATGTGACAGTTCTGGCTTCAGCATTTTCCTCCAGTGGGCCGTAGACAAGTGTCAGATCAGCTCTCTGTGGAGCTTTTCCAGCGGTTCGGCCTGAGGCCCAGAGAGAGCGTCAGTGTGACGCCCAGTGGGGAAGAGCGGGCTGACCGTAACCACTTCCTGAGGCAGGAGAGGAGGAGGGCCTGGTGTGCAGAGAAGGCCCGAGGCCCGGCCCCACTTAGGGAGTTGCTGTGAGACCCACACAGCGGTGGGCAGCCCCTCCTTCCAGGTGCTGGGCTGCTGGTCCTGGGCAGTGGAGCCCTGTGGTTCGACACACAGCTCTGCTGCCTTAGACAGATGGGCTGAAGCAGGTCTAACCATGTCTCGTTTAATGCTCTTGTTTGGATACAGATATCGGAGTCACGGTAGCTTTCGCCCCGAGGAGACCAGGTTGGTATGGGGTACCTGTGTGTCCGTTGGCTTATCTTGGGGTGGCCCTGGGGTGGACAAAGTCGCATCCATTTTGGGTTCCCTTGTGGAGAGGGCAGGTGTGATGGCAGCTGTTGAAGACTTACCAGGTAGGTCTTCCTGATTTGGGGCCAATCCCTGTATGTTAGCTGGAAACCTCAGCACCCTCATTAATAAGAAAGGTCAATAATAACATCTACCTGTGGGATGCGGTGGGACCCGGGAGATCAGGTGTGTAAAGTGATGTTCTGGCACATAATTCAAAACAATTTAAATATGCATTTCTTTGACACCCACATTGAGATAGTTTGTAGCAAGCTTTAGACTTTACAAATATTGTTTCCTAGTTTGAAGTCACCCTGTGAATTGGATAAGAAATATCCTTGTAACTCATGGGGAAAAAAGATGTGCACCTGTGGAAGTACTTAGCCCTGAATTCTAGATGCTGGATTCGCACAGCTGAGGCTTGGGTCACTGACTTGCTTTGCGCTGCTGTAGTCGCCAGTGGCACTGTCACTCAGGGCTGGCAGGCTCCTCTCTACGGCCAGATGTCTCAGCCGGTGAAGGAGAAATCAGCTTTCTTCCAGAAGCCGTTTGATGCTGGGCGTGGCCTGGATGCCTGACTCACAGTTCCAGGCAAACACATCCGTGTTTGTGGAACTAACATCAGTCCACCCACCCAAGAGGGCTGGTTGTAAACTCTTGGGCATTCCTGGAATGTTCCTCTGCTTATTCTGAAGGAGTCTAAACTGTGCCCAGGCAAGTGCCTCCCAACCCTGGCTCTGCCCTGGATCAACTAAAAATTTCGAAGGTCATTCAAGACGTCAGTATTTTAAAAACCAAACCAAGACAAAGAACTTCCTTAGGAGAATGTAAGGGCAGCAGGGCCAAGAGCCTAGGCTTCAGAGGGGAAAAAGTGCCTGTCACTCTGAGGAGGTGCCTCCCCATCCCCACCCCGAGGGTGTCCTCGCCCAGCGTTTTGGACACTGGCGCTGCTGTGGGAGGACCCAGAATGCCGAGGCCGTCCCGTTGGGCTGTCAGCCCTTAAGGGAGCATGACGCCCCCCTCTGGTGGATATCGTCACTAACTAGCACAACTTCCTATTTGCAGATGGAAGTAACTCAGCCTTCAGTCTGCAGAGCCCATTGGCCCAGCTCCTGGAGCATCAGGCTGTGTCTGCATGAACTGATCATGGCAATGACCGGGGACATGCGTGCCAGCCCAGGGTGTGGGCAGTGCTGGCCCTGAGTCCCCTGTTTGGAAGTGCTCTGAAGCAGGGTATAGCAGCTATTATCAAAAGTTCTCTCTTAGAAGTACCAGGAAGGGGGAATCCCCCTTGTGAGCGTTCTGCAGAGATTCCTGACAGACTTAAGATGCTGCCAAATCAGAGAAAGTTGCTTCCTCCCCCAAGGGACTTACTCTGTACTTCCGGATACCAGACATGGTGCTTTGCTCCCTTCACCTCATTTTGTTCCCACAACAGTCCTGTAGAGTGGGTACTCCATTACTGTCTCTATCGTGCACACCAGGAAAGCAAGCAAAGAGAGAGGCGACGTGATCACCCATGTCTGCCTGCTTCTGGAGACTGTTCTTTCCATCCTGCTGCATAGCAGGATCTCAGAGGATCCCCGAAGTCCTCAAATCAGTGCCCCCTCTTCATGCCCATCTGTTCCACAGCACCCTTTGGCAGTGGCCTTCAGCCCTCTGTTCCCAAACCTCCAGGAACAGGGACCTCTGTCTCCCAGCACAGTCCACAGCAGTGCTCAGGGCGTGCTGATGTGGAGAGCTCTCTAAGTCTGGATCAAGTAGGACACAGACAGAATAAATGACTAAGTACATAAACAGAGAAGCAAACGAGTCAAGTGGACATCTGTCTCCTACTGCATTCCATTTTGGGTCCTAATCTTGGTACTTAGAATAATAATAACTGAGCAGCACGTATGTTCCAGATGCTGCAGGAATTTAGCCCATTTATGGCTTCATTCCACACGTGAGGACCTGGGTGTGGGAGGGGCGGGGCCTGGTCCAGGTGGTGAGGACGGTGCTGGGATGCAGTGCGGGCGCCTGTCCTAACTGCTGACTCCATCGGCTCCTAAGTCCCAGCAGAAGCTCAGTGGAGCTCAGCTGCTCCAGGCTCCTCATGCATTGCTGTGGGATTTCGGGGAGCAGAGTGGGGCAGCAGGCTCAGCGCCTACTCAAGTGCACACCCCTGGCTGCATCTCCTCCCCAGCAGCCGCCTGCCTGACTCCACCTTTGCTCCACCCGGGGCTGTGTGCTTTCAGTCCCTCTACTCCAGGAAGGGTCCCCCGCCATCAGGGATGCGCTGTCTGTCACAGACAGTGCCCTGGGGCCTTTCCGGAGAAGCCAGGAGCTGGGACTTGGCTCCCTGCTCATGGCTCTCTGGAAGAACACCGCAGGGGAGCTTTGGGGTGTGCCCTGCTCTCCCTGAGCTCCCGTGGTGTGGCCTCAGGAGGGCCAGAGCCTCCTGACCTCGGAATCAGCTGAGAGCTGGGCTCAGTGAGGGTGTCACCACCAGAAGGGAGCAGGCTGGCCGGGGCTGTTCGAGGCAAGGGCCTGGGCTCCGAAGTTAGGCAGACGTGGGCTCCAGCAGGAGCTCAGTGTCCCAGAGCTGTGTAGCCTCAGAAGCAGCCTCTGGGCTCTCTGGGCCCTGGCCTCTTCTGTGAGGGGCTGTGATGCTCGAGTGCCGGCATTCGGAGCCTTGCACAGTGCCTGGCCCGGTGAGCCAGGAGAGGCGGAATGTCCCCAGCACACCTCCTCGGTGAAACTGCTTCTGCTGTGGCAGCAGTGCAGCCAGCCCCTGACCCCGGGGGACGAGGAGGCCTCTCGGCCAGGAAGAGGCTTTCTCCCAGCATCTGCACACCGCAGTCTCTTGATTGTGCTGTTCAGCTTAGGTTTTGCCTTTTGTCTTCTCTTCAGAAAGGGGATGTTTGGACTGAAGCTGAAGAAGAAGAAAAAGAATAAAGCAGAGAAGGGGCTGATCTTGGCCAACAAGGCTGCACAAGGTGAGGAGATGGGGGGTGGCTACGTGCTGGGACCTGAGGGCCTCGCTGGGGACCCTGGCTCTCTGCCACCCGGGCGTGAGGAAAGCCCCCAGCCCTGGTCATCACCGAGTGACCCATCATTTGCTGGGCCATGGAAGGGGCCCCACGAGGAGCAGCGACAGGGTTGGAAATCTGCTTGGGTTCTGATTTGCTCTGTGCCTGCCATGGCCTGGCCTCACTTTCTCCCTCTGTCAAAGGAGCACGTGTGGGTCTCAGGTCACACAGCTGTGGGGAAGAGCCAGCAAGACATCAAAAGCACCCTGGAGGGTTGTCACTGCCATGAGCGAGGGTGACAGTGAGGAGGGGCAAAACTGACACCACATCACATCCATCACATCGTTTAACCCTCCGCCATCCCCGCAGCCAGTGCCATTCCCAGACTTTACAAACCAGTTTAGAGATGCAGACTGAGCGAGCAGAGTAACTGTGGCAAAGAAGCCTTGCTGCAGAATGGGCAAAGCCCAGGAAGAAGTGAAAATGGAGAGAAATTCAGAATTTCAAGATGGTGACAACAGAGCTTAAACCAAATGCAACAGGGTCCTTCTGAGCATGTGCCCCGTCTGCCCCGCCTGCCCACTCCGGAGGCTGCCCCAGAGGGCGGGAGGCAGAGAGGCAGGAGCGGGCATGGTGCTGTAAACCCAGGTGGCTGGATGTTCTGCCCTTAGCTAGGCTACTTCCCTCTTCAGAAGAGCGAAGCTTGGAGTGGCAATGTGAACGATGCCAGGGCTGCCACAGTGCTGGATCCATGGTGGATGGGTCTGTGTGGGTCTGTGTGGCCCCTGGAGCCCTCTGCCGAGTGGCCCTGACAATAACCAGGTCAGGGCTGGCTCTCTGGGCCATTCCTAGACCAAAACAGTCAGTGGGGCTGGTAGGTCCTCACCGGCATGTTTCCCGCCGTCTGCTGCAGCAGCCCTGGGAGTTCATGTGCTACCTCCCTCCACTCTTCCCTCATGAGGAGCGTATGGTAACTCAGGCATACACCCTAGGATGTTGATGACAATGACTGGCCATCACCCGTGGATGGCAGGGAGGAGCATTGTCCTCGGGGGGATGAGGGTTAAAGCTCAATGGAAGTATTCGTCTGGTCAGTGAAATTGGTGACATGAGGGGGAGGATGGGTAAGGTTTGGAGGGCCTTCCTGTTGTCCTTGAAATTGTGTTAAATAGTTCCTTCCTCAGAGTCTTTGTGAAAAATAATATCTCTGGGACATATTTAATAACTGTCTGCTGATGCACTGGACATGCATCCCTCAGGGCGCTGAACGCTAGATTCTGTGGGGCCTGTTTTACAACACTGATTCAGGCAGGGTGAGCACCTCTCCCACTAAGCAAGTCCGGAAGCTGGGTCATGAGTCCGGGTCAGTCTGATGCTGGAGCCCGGACTTTCCTGCCCCATGGGCTGGCATCCAGCCAGGAGCCCTCCCGGCTGCTGGGGGAGAATACAGCAGCCAGCCACAGGCATTTCAGAGGAACTGGCTCCAAGGCTCATTCTAATTACAGTCTGCAGCCCAGAAAGCAAACAGCGCAGAGAGGGCTCAGGCCCCTCCTGGAAGGTAAACGACAGCACCCCACTGGGAGGGCAGCCCTGTCAGAGGCTAACACACCTGACTGGACAGAGACTTTGGGCTTTCCTCCTTGGCTCTCCAGGAAAGTTGGGGCTTCTGGTGAAGTGTCTGGAGATTCTCAAAGTCCCTAGCTCTTTCATCTGTGACACGCTTCACACCCTTAACATTCCTGGTACTCTAACCCATCCACCAGGCAGTTACTGACACCTGTTTGCTCATCCACCAGCATGTCTGCCAGTTTGGGCCTGGGCCAGGCTCTTGTGGCTTTGCTGGACGCTGGCAGTCTGAGGGAGGACAGCCCTGCCCAGGGCTCTACTCTTTGCCCACCTGGCCTGCCCTCTGTGCTTCTCCCTGTTCTGTGTCCCAGGAGACTGACCTCTGAAGAGGCAGGACCAGGTGCCCAAGCCTCTGGCTTCTGGTTGGATCCGCAGGAGATCTAGGAGAGGGGAGAGGGAGCATGGGGCCCAGGTGGCTGTGCCCCCCAACAGGATCCCTCTCAGATCGAACTCAGGACCTGACTCAAGCTCACTTCCACTCCTATACTCAGTCAGTCTCTCTCTCTCTCTCTCTCTCTCTCTCTCTCCTCTTTGCCAGTTTAGGAGTGGGCCAGCTTGGCTGTCTGGGGCTGCTGGTAGCCCCACATAACTGCATGAGCTTCCGTGGGTTTCCTACACCACAGCTTTGTAAAAAGCCCTCCAACCATCCTATTCTGGCCACGCCCTGCACTGGTCGCTGGGACTTTGACTTGGTACACACATTACAAGTGGAGAAAATGCTATGAAAACACAGACAACAGGCTGGAGTGGAGCTTGCTGGGGACTCTCTCCTGACTCCCAGCTCACTGGAACAGAGACTTGGTGGGGTCAGGTGGAGGGGTGCTAGCGAAGGCAAACTCCCACGAGGGGAGCAGGTCAGGCTAGAAGGAGCTGGAAAAGGGCGGTGGAGCTGGGAGCAGAGCAGGGGAGAGGAAGCATGGAGACAGGCAATGGGGCGAAGCCAGAGGCAGCTGGGCATTAGTCAGGTATGGACTTTAGGCTGTCCACTGAGTAGGATGGAGTGCCACTGAGGGGTTTTCAGGAAGGAAGTGACACGAGCACCCTGCATTCTGGGTGAGTAGATTGGAGAGAGCATAGTAGTCCAGTGAATGATGATGAAGCAGCAGCTGATGACTTTTTACCTCAGCATCTCTTACCCTCCAGAATGTAAACCCTTGGATGTGTCTTGAGCATCTAATCCAGCATAGTTCCTAGCATGTATCAGGCATCTAAGAGTCTTCCCTTGAAGCTTGAGTATATGATGTAGATCCTCATCCCTGAGGGCTTTGTACTCAGCTAGGGGATTATTTATTTTATCCTGCTTCCAGGAGCCCAGACAGTCACTAGATTCCTTCTGGCCTCCCTGTAGCTCGGGTCTTGGCTTTAGTTGCCTGGCTGAGAGGGCAAGGAAAGTAGGCTCCACCCCTCCAGCCGTCCTTTGTGTAGCTACCTACTGAGCATCTGCCGAGGCCAAGCCTGTGTGCATGAGCTGTACTCTGGGCTGCCTTATCCCATCTGTCTTCTGATCAGGGCTTTGGCATGGTTGGCTGATTAAAATTGGAGTCAAAACATGCTGAAGCTGAAAAGCATCTTAGAAATTACTTGATTGATGTGTTTATAGTTGAGTCCCAGGGAGTCCAGGGATTCTGAGAAATGGTTTCTAGGGTGTCTGGAGAGAGTGGTGGGAGACCTGGTGGGAAGTTTCCTGCCTCCACTCCACCCCACGGCACTTAGAACAGCTTGGCACAGGTGGATTTTTACTTTACACTGAGCTTCCATATAAAACTACATTTATAAAAGGACTGTGTTGCTTTGTAAAGTTCAAAAGCACTTTTCTTGCCCAATGCTTACCCTTTACAGGGAAGGAAAAATGTCAACCGATCCTGCGCGACATGGAGTGCACAGCCTTCAGCATCCACCACGTGCTTCTCTGACAGACACTGTGTGGGGCTGTATGGGTTTTGTTTATTTTCCTGACAACTCTGTGGTATAGTTAGAATTAACCCTGCCTTGTTTCCCAGATAGGAAAAGCAGAACTGAGGGAAATAACTAGGCCAAATCATAAAAGTAGAAAGGGATAGGGCTGAAATCTGAGCCCAAATCTCTCGGGTTAAAGCCTTTGGCCCATGCTGCAAAGAGCCTGTCGGTGCGCTAGGGTGGCCCGGCAGCTCTCCTCTGTCAACACCCGCCGGAGAAGCGGTGCTCCAACCTGGTTGAATATTAGGAAATTTAAACAATCCTGGTATCAGGCAGCTTTCCAGATGAGTTCCCTCAGAATCCTCGGGTAGGCGGGAGAGGATCTGAACATGATTGCTACCCAATCAGTTAAGTTTAAGTGCTTGTATGTTTGTTTCCCAGAGCTTCCCACAAAACCTGCCCTTCCTAGGGTAGATGGCTTGAATTACTGAAACTTGATAACTTAAAACAACAGATTTACTTTTTCACAGTTGTGAAGTCCAGATGATGAAATCACCATCACTAGGTCAAAATCAAGAGCTTCACTCCTTCCACGTCTCTGATGTGTGTTAGCTTTCTGTCTCTGTGACCAAACACCTAATATAAACAGCTTCCACGGAGGAGAGACTTATGTGGGCTCACAGCTGCACAAGTGTTGATCCTTGGTTGCTTGCTTTGGGTCCGTGGTGAGGCAGAACATCACAGCGGGGGCCACGCGGTAAAGTGAACCTACTCCCCTCGTAGTGGCCAGGAGGCAAGGAGAGAAAGAAGCTGAGGCTGGGCTCCCAATATCCTGACTTCCTCTCACCAGGCCCCAACTTCCAAAGGTTCTACCATCTCTAAACCACTGCGGGCTGGCAACCAGGCCCTCAGGATGTGGCCTCTGAGGGACGTTCAAGATCCAAACCATAACTCGTGGGCTGTTCGTTGGTTTGTACAGCATCAGTCTAGCCTTTGTCCCCCGGGTCATATTACTACTGTTTGTTTTGGGTAAAATCTCCCTCCGCCCCCTTCTTGTAAGGGTAGATGTGATTGCAATTCAGCCCGCCTGATAATCCAGGATAACGGCCTCATCTCAGAATCCCTAGCTTAACCACATCTGCAGAGACCTTTTTGTTCCACATAAGCCAACATTTAGAGAGCCAGGCATTAGACCCTGCCATCTTTTCAGAGGGTGGAGCTTTGCTGCTCAAGATTCGCTGGCAGATGCAGGGCTGACTTTACCTGGGGTTCGCTGTTAGAGATGCTGAGTCATGGGCCCTCCTGGACCTATGGAATCAGAGGCTGCATTCAGCAGCTCCCCAGCATTCCTTATACACACCAAGCTATGCTGATGAAGCTTGGAGAAACTAAAGGGCTCCGGCCCCACTGTAGTGGCGGACTTGAGAGCGGGAGACTCATCATGCAGTTTTCTATACCTATAACCATCCGTGCTCGCTTCGGCAGCACATATACTATACTTATAACCATCCTTATAGATCTGTTCTTTTCTGGAAACAGACAAAAGATGTATTTTATTTTACGAAAAATTTAAAAATGTATCTGGCTTTTCTGCCAGCAGGATGTTAAGCTTCATCGTGGCAGAGAGTGTCTCTAGTGCCCTTGTGGCCCTGTGGTGCCTGGTGTGGTGCTGGACACAGAGTGGAGACCTGATAGCTACCATGTCTCAATTTAACAGGACTTTCTTTCCTTGTCTGCTCCTCTAGATGGCCAAAGCGACACAGAAGCATTGCAGGAGGGACCGTCTCATCAGGAGGGATCACAAGGAGATCTGATCCATGATGATGTGTCCATCACTCCTGCCCTGTCAGCTCCTCCGGAGAGAAGGTGTGGTATTGATGTCATGGTCAGCACCCTTACTGAGAACCCCCAAGAGCCAGACACTCCTGCAGGCCACTCAGCTTTCTCTCCAAGCACTGGCCTCCTGGTAGGGTTCAGGGTCAGCCTTCAGCAGGCCAAGTCCCAACTCGACTGGCTGCAGCTCTTACATCTCCTCCTGCCTGTGTGAGGTGCTCATGTCCCTCCTGGTGCAGGAATGACAGCAAGAGGAGAAAACAGACTCAGGAGCCACTGTTCACCTCCTCTTTAGTTCATCAAGATATTTATTGGTTATCTTGGCTTCATGTTTGTCCCAAATAAGAAAATGGTTTTAAACAACAACAAAAATTCAAAATGAACTTGCTTTCTGTATGCTCTGTCAGTTAGTTTTTGATGTGTGAAATGTAACTCCCCAGTCAGTGGCTTAGTGTACTGGGCATTCACATTGCTCTTGAATCTTTGGGTTGGGTGGGTTGCTTTGCTGGCCTAGGAGAGTTGTCAGAGACACCACTTGTGTGTCTGGCCATTTGGTGCTCTGCTGATCTTAGTTCTGGGGTCGGCTGGCAATAGGTCAGCAGATGGCATCGGACTTCCCAGCAGGTCAGACCCGATGGAGGCAATGGCCATGTTCTCAGAGAGTGGACATGCTCAGGGTCTCAGGGAGTCAGGCTGGAGCTGGGGAAGTCATTTGTGCCGCACTGTATTGGCCAGATGCAAGCTAAAAGGTCAGACCATGTCAGAGCGGGAGGAGACTGCGTATAAAGAAGCCAATGGCTGGGGCTACAAGGGCTTTCACTCTGCCATATTTGTTCATGTCACTCTCTCCCTTGTGATAATTCACCATGCGCTTTATTTCTTTTTCCACTCAGAGGTGTTACTATACTAGTGCCACGTGCCATTTGTGTGTGAATACTCACTACAGCCCCTACGCTGCACCCTGGCAACCACCACCCCGGGCCCAGCCTCTGACTGGGGACTTCCATTATTCTTTAATACCTTTCGAGGCATCCCTTGTCTTTTATTTTACCAGGAGGACAGAACTGATGGAGGAAGGCAGGAGAAAGAGAAATAAGTAGTGGTCTTTTTCCTTCTCTTTGGTTGGATCATTCTCCAGCAGTTGAAATTCTACCCACCCACCAATGCTCAATTCAGACCCAACCTCTGCAGAGAAGTCTTTGTTGTTTACAGAGCCCTTAGGAATTTCTTCTTTTCAGCTCTTATCCTGTATTTTTCCCTCTATGGTGTGTTTCATACTAGTTCTTTCCTTATACGTCTTGGTTCTCTCTGCCCTGGACAAGCTGTTAGCTCTGAAAAGGCCAAGCTGATGACTTACACATCTTTGCTTTTCTCTTAACTAAGCGTAACACTAGGCTTCACATAATGAGTAATCAGTACAAATTTGCATTTTATTAATGAACATACTAAATGGTAGCTATCTTTTCTTATATTATCTCCTTTGGACCTCAGAGCAATCTTATGGAATATAAACTATTATGTCCACTTTCATGTAAGGAAATTAAAGCTAAAGTCTCAAATCAGGAGGAACAATTATTCTAACTTAGAGCAGTCTGACTGCAAAGTCTTCAGATTTTTACTGCCGTACTCTATTCCCTACTGTACTCAATTACTATATTTAGCAGACATGGAATAAAGTCAAATGCAAGATGGGGTTGTTAGAAGCCAAGAGAACAAAATTTAATAGGAACTCAAGCTCAGTTCATTTCCCACCCGCTGCTCCTGGGATGACAAGGACTCTTCATCTCTCACTACTGTCATCCAAGCACTAAGTGCCCAGGGGCCACCATCTGTTTCCAATCACCTGTGACAGTCCAGATAAATGATATGCCCTGGAATGTGCAGTCTCTGGGAGACATCTTTGTCATCCCTTTCAATTCCCTCCTTTCCCAGTTCTTTTAAAAGCAATCACAAAACTTAGAATTGTTATATCTGCTAGAAATGAGGACGCAATCTTGTGTCTAAGATCAGGTGGGTGATTGGGAAATCTTTCTTTTGATCCAGTTTGTCATTGACTTTCTGAGGCATCGTAAGTTCTGGTTCTATAAAATCATATAAAATAGGCAGTCTTACTCCTAAAAACTACTAATATTTATTCTTGCCTGGCATTGTGTTAAATTTATATTATTGCATCTTTTAATTCTAGCAATCACCTCTTGTGTAAGTTCTAGTTTTAGCTACATTTTTAGGATAGGGAAACTGAGTTACAGAGAGGTTAAGTTACTTGTCCACTCATACCTTCCTCTTCCAGAGCAGCAAAGAGAATATGTGATACAATATAAATGAAATCACTTAGAAAGACCTGGGGAAATGTTATTATGGCTTGTGGATCTAAAGCACTTTTTACTCGAGGAAACAAATATATTAAACTTTCTTTTGTAGATCGAAACTGCTGACTAAGATCCATGATGGGGAAGTCAAATCCCAAAGCTATCAAGTAGGTGATCAGCTCTTCCTGCCCAGTCCCCGCCCCTCCAGTCCACGGGCTGCACAGTCAGAGCGGCTCTGCCACTTCCTGTTGCAGATTTCCATAACCATCATCGAGGCCCGCCAGCTGGTGGGCGAGAACATCGACCCAGTTGTGACCATTGAAATCGGGGACGAGAAGAAGCAAAGCACAGTGAAGGAAGGAACCAACAGCCCGTTTTACAATGAGGTAAGGCACGGGGGCACCAAGGCGTCCGCACCAGCATCCCCTCCTCTCTCCTGGAACCGAAAAGCTGTGCCCCTGCCACCCCTCCAGGCCCCCCTAAGCTCATGGCAAATCCTTCGAACCTCCTCACAAACGCAGCCCCGAACAGTTTTCAACAAAAAAATAACAGGAAGGAGAGGCAAAGAATTTTTCCTGATTTTAAAGTCATCACTACATTAACAGACCCATTTTATTTCTTGTAAGTTCCTCATCGCCCATGACAAACTCTGGGTTTGTGTTCCACAAGCATTGAAAGTTGGCCAGTGAGGAGCCACACGCTGAAATTTAATCATTGACTGACTAGGAGGACTGTCTTGGAAGGTAAAATGGCTGTGTTTTTCTAAGCTGTGGAGAAATTATAAAGGAAAACTTTAAAGAGAGAAGTTTTTAATGTTAAACATACTAATTCTCCTTTTAAAATAAGGATGTTATATGGCCCCAAATGACAGAGTATAAAATGACAGTGAAAAATTTTGTTTCCCTCTGGTCTTTGGTCCCTAATCCCCTAGACCTTGTCCTGGAGGCAACTATTCTCCCAGGCATTTATTTGGGCATTTTCCAGAGAGAGTCCATGCATGCACAGGAATAAAAGTACATTTTATACCAAATAGTAGCATTCTGTGTTCTGTGTTCTGTTCTGGGCCTTGTTATTTGTCACAAGACAGTACCTCAGAGATTAGTCCATAGCAGATGTGTATTTCATCTCTCTTTCTCCTCATGGCTGGAGAATTTTCCACTGCTCTGATGTATCATACTGTGCTAAGTCAGTCTCTCATGCATGGATGTTAATGTTTTCAGCTGTTTGCTACTCCTTATAATAGTATGTATAGAGCATAATTGGGGCACAGGGTATGTACAGTACATTTAAATTTTTGATATCGCCAAATCACCTTCTAAAGAGGTAACAATTTATACTCCAACTAACAGTGCACAAGACTACCTGTTTTCCTATAGGTGCACTGACACCATGAATTACACAAAATGCAGCAAATTCTTAATTATTATCCTAATGGGAGAGGTAATTAAAAAGGAAGGCAGGGAGAACATGGATAATGATGCTGACAGAAAATACCCAAGTACCATTTGAGGTGTTAGTTCCTTTTCTCTTTATAGTTCCTACCCTTGAGCCTGGAAAATATCAGTGGTTTTCTCCTTTGTGTTCCACTCCCCACCGTTAAAGCATTTTTTAAAATTATGGATGTGATGTGAGATAGTGTATCTGAAAATTCTTTAAAGCTGCAAAGCCTTAAGGTTTGTTAATTATTGTAATTATGCATACAAGTCCTGGATCTAAATGACATTAAATTGGGCGCAAGTATAACCAGGAGGAAATCAAGTAAAAACATAGAAGGTGAACTCAGTACATTTATCGTAGGTCTTGACTTAAATTTCAAGCCCAAATGTTACCAGATGCTGAAGGAACTAGACAGTAGAGACTAGGAATATTGGTTTGGGGTCTAAGGAACCTGCCTGATGGGTTGAATCTGAAACACATGAAACTAAGCAGAAGCAGCAGCCACTGAAAACAATCTATCAGGCCAAAGGAAGCCACCATGGCCTGTACACTGAGCTGTACCAGAGAATGAGGAATTTTACATGAATGAATTTTCCACATAATTTGAGCAGCAAAACTCTTAAAAATTTCGAACCCATACTGTATATAAAAATTTTCTAAGGCCAGGGATTTGGCTCAGTGGTTCCGCCGCCTGCCTCGCAAGTGCAAGATCCTGAGTTCAATCCCCGGTACCAAAAAAAAAAAAAAAAAAAAAAAAATTTTCTAAAATGTCATACCTATTTTCTTATTAAACAGAACACAATGCATATAATGCCACTTTCCATTGATATCTAAGGGCACCCTTTTGAAGACATTATTATAGTGTATGATGACATATTCTGGTTTTCCTGTTTTGCCTTTGGAAAGAAAGCTGTTAGCGGTCAGTTTTGCCTTTCCTGCTGCTGTGTCCATCTCCAACTTTCCATTCCTCCGCCCCCAAAGCCCAAAGCAAAGGAAAGAATTCGAGGGACAGCAGCATCCCAGTCCTGCCTCCCCAGCTCCCACTATCCCCAAACACCCAAACAACCCCACACGGCACCACCCCGGTTTTCCGCAGCTGAGGATTGTACAGCCTCAGCTTCAGAACTTGACTCAGAGGTCAGGTGAAAGGTCTGCTGCCGGCCTCGCCTCTTTTAGGGTAGCTGGGAGAAATACATTTGGCCTCAGGTCAAGGAATAGCTAGCAATGTAATCTAAGCAATACCTTTCAAGTTCTTTAGTCTTCAGCTTTCTTACTTGAAGAAGATAATTTCTTCCACTCTGAAATTTAGTCATTTTCTTAATATTAAATATCTCTCTTGTCCATAACTTCTTTTTATTGTTTCTCCTTGGTCAATCTCCTTGGTAATTTCACAGAGATGTCTGAAACTGAAAAACTTCAAAAAGTTAGATTTTAATCAATTTAATTCCTAAATAATACCATACTAAGATATCATTTTCATCTATCATTATAAGGACAAAAAAGAAATAAAGAAAATAACTAGCGATACGAAGGGCTGGGAGGGGTGTGGAGAAATAGCTACTTTCATATGCTGCTGGTGGGACTATAACATTGCCTAACCACTCTGGACAGATACTTTAATATTAAATTTGTGTTTACAATATCCATACCCAACGATTCCACTTCTCTTGTCCATTTGAGAGGAATACTCACACATATCCTATCCAAGAATGTGATTGGTGGCCTTCTATTTTCATATTAAAGAATTGAAAACAACCTAAGTGACCTGCATGGGGGGATGGCCAATCAACTGATGACATATTCATGCAACTGAGGACTAAGCAGCAGTTGCTTAGAACAAGACAGTTCTGAGTTAACTCTAGGAACAGGGCTCTTACGTGCAAGGCTGGAGTTGATGGCCAGAATGAACTTTGTTTTACAGTACTTTGTCTTCGACTTCATTGGGCCCCAAGTGCATCTCTTTGACAAGATCATCAAAATCTCAGTAAGTACACCTGGGTGGTGACAGTGCTTGTGAGGAGAGGTGGGCAGGATTCTAGGCACTGGAGACACTCTGCAAAGCTCGGATGCTTAGGGATGAGCACTTCAGGAGGGTGAGCCTGGGCTGGTGAGTCTGAAACCAACAGGCCGGAACTCGGGATTACCAGCAGAAAGGAGTTTGGGAAGGAAAAATAGCCCAAGAGCATCCATACTTCTTGGAAGCAAGTGTGAGCTGCAATAAAGTTATTACTAATCGAATGTGGGAATGTGAAATAAGACATCTTAATAGGGTGCCACTTACAGTTGATTTTTTAAATCAGGCAAATGTTGATGTTTCTCTCTCTGCATGGTAACAACACTAATGGTCTTGGTCACAACCCTCTCCCCTTCCGGTGGGTTATAGAGGGAGAACAGGAACAAGACTTAGCAGGTGGCCACATATGTCAGTCTCACCAGTAGTAATGCTCGGAAGGGAAGTTCCTGTGCTGAAGCCATCACACTGGCCCCAGCGGGAGGCAGGGAGGTTAGTGGGGTCATCACACGATTCATCAAAGGGACAGAGCTGAAAGACACCGGATGAGACCCATCCCACCAGGCTGAGGAAGGGCTGCTCTCCCAGGGAGAGCTGTGGGGGTGAGTGAGTGGGCATCATGGGGTGGGCTGAAGAGTGAGCGTTGTCTTCCAGAGAGCTGAGGTTGGACAGAGCTCCATGCACTAGCGTAAGAGCACAGAGAGCCAGGGATGTTTCCCCAGCATCACATCAACTCCCATGGGGACCATGGGGATGATGAGACCTGGGTGGAAGTTTCCTGTCTTCCTTGCCTGCCTTTGTCCCCCCTCAGTATGACAGAGAGACACGTATATAAGAGATCTAGGTCCTACAGGAGTCACGATGGTACCCTTCCAAGGAGCCCTTGACAAATGTGACTTTTGAGGCATGAAAAGTCATTAAGAGCCAAACATTCTCAGTACTTGAATTTCAGACATGATGACAAGATATTTTGGGACCTGGAATATTGCCCAGGACTCTGTTCCATCAATTCAGGCGACCGCCTGTTTGCAAGAGTGGCTTTGTAGGTGTTTGTTGTTATTTGAGACAGGATCTCCCTGGCCTCAGACTCACTGTGTGGCCCAGGCTGCCCTCAGAGTTGTGACCCTCCTGCCTCAGCCTCCTAGGGTGCTGGGATTACTGGTGTGTGCCACCACACCCAGTCATTACTAGGCTTTTATGTTGGATTGCAGACAGGGTCATGACTGTGGAAACGTGGGTTTTAGACAGAGACTCAGAGCTGGTATTGCCTGTCCCTGTGCCTCTAACTTGGAAGAAGACAATACTTTGGTGTCCCTAAATGACTCAGAGAGAGAAACAAAAGGTTTTGAGAAGAATACTTCCTTCTCAAGGAAGTTGGATGTTTAACATGACTTCTACTAGTTCCTGAACTGAAATTCAGTGTGCCCAGAACAAATTCAACGTGGGAGAAGGAGGGGAAGAGGGCTGACAGCAGATGCTCCTGGTACAGTGAGGCTGTGATGTGGGGATACAAAGGCCATCTTCCCTCAGATGTCCAGGTCCTGACGGTCCACGAGGGACACACAGGGTTCCCACCCTCACCCACGAGCTGGGTGCCTGGAGAAGGCTGGCTGTGCCATTTGAAGATGCAGACCATCTCGTCCACAGGGCCCTTGTCTTCCTTCCTGGTCGCATTGGCCACTGTGGGCATGGCACGTTACAGACTGAGCTTTCTGTGTGTGGCCTTAAATAGCTCCTCTAGCCCAACAGGCTGTCCTTGCTTCCCCTCAGTTCTCTGGCACTCTTGGAAAATTTTGGCAAGGGAGAGAGAGTGGAAAAAGAAATGAGAAAGGCTGTCATTTCTTGGAGTCAGTTGAATTTATTGTTTTTTCTGCCTCTGCCAAAATGTTTAGAAGCTGTAAAATCCTCCCATTCATCCACCATTTCAATCATTCATTCCTTCAGGCAATGTTTCATCAATCATGAACAAGGCCATGTAGTGGGCAGAAGACAGTAGAAAACTGCCCTGGATTGGAGGAACTCTTACGGCTTTATAGTGAGAAAGAAGCTCAGAGGCCATGTAGTCTAAGTCCATCCAGAGCTGGATCCCTCTCCATCTCCCCCACAACATGGGCTGCTTGGGACAGGACGATTATTTCCAGTGACGGGGAGGTAACCACCTCTGGAAATCCCATTCCCTTGCTGAAAGCTCTGACTGATTTAAAAACTGTCCCTGTACTGAGCTGAGACCTTTCATCCGGTACCCCAGAGCCGCACAGAGAACCTGTCCCGCTCTGGATGGCAGAACTTCCAAGGTTTCAGGACACTTGAATTCCCATTGTCCTTTCTCTACAGCCCTCACCCCAGTTTCCTCTCTTCTGGGTTAGAATGAAATGACTCCTGGTTCCTTATCAGTTTCTCACACAATGTGGCATCTGGATTGGCACCAGCTCTGCCATGTTCCCTTAGAACTTCTTCGTAGTGGCAAAACTCACGTCAGAAGGCACTGCTGCAGCCAAGCTGGGCACCCGGCTGACGTCTGAACAGACCAAGTATTGAGGGTGACCGCCCTCTTCTGTTGCATGTCACCAAATGTCTCGTGGCACTCGGTGGTGGCTCTCTGAGAATGCTGGAGCACAGCATTGGGGAGGGAAGGGGACAGGGAAGGCTACTTGGAACAGAGACTAGGCTTGAAGGATGGGAGGGTTCAGCAGGCCGAAGTGGGGATTGAAGGGCACCAGTGTTCATTTGGGTTAAAGAAAACTCTCAAGCGGCAAGAGCCAGGTGACCTTCAGTGGCTGAAAGCTTTTACAGGGATGAGGTGCCATGAGAAGCTTCTGGAAGCTCTCCATAGCCCTTTGGTTTGATGACTGAATTCCACTGTGCGGCACGTGCTCCAGATGAGGGTCACAGCCGGGCAAAGGGCGAGGCCGAGAAGCCTCTTTGGATGAGCCCATTTCACAGACCGATCCTCAGAGATAACTTGCCCCCCCTCTCTCATCAGGTCTTCCACCACAAGCTGCTAGGAAACGTTCTGATTGGCTCCTTCAAAGTAGACCTGGGAACTGTGTATAACCAGCCTGGTAAGGATGCACCTCCCCCTCAGTCCTCTCTGGTCTGCAGCACCCAGGCTTCCTCTCATTTATTCACACGTCCATTCCACCATCACTCAGTGACACCGAGCACCGATTACACCAAGCAGAGTGCGACGCTGCTCTTGTCCCCAAATATGGCATAATTTAATGATAGAACTCTGTGTCCAGGCTGAGTAGATTCCTTTTTCTCACACAAATCCTGTCTAATTTAGTGCTGTGAGACATGACCAGGAGAAGCAATAGAATGCAGAAGTTAAGAATATGCGCTGCCATGGTGACGGACACCAGTAATGATAGAACTCTGGGATGCTGAGCCCAGTCTGCTCATTTAGTGAAACCCTGACTCAAAATAAGAGATTAACGGGCTGGTATTAGTTCAGTGTGAAGGCCTCAGGTTCAGTGCCCGGTACTGGGAAAAAATATATGTAGGCTCTGGAATCAGAATCCTTGATTTCAAATTCCACTGCACTGCCGCCCAGCTGTGCAGCTTTGGACAGTGGATTTAACTGTCTGTCCCTCAGCTTCCTCATGGGGAGAAGTTAATGCCACCTGAAGAGTTTTTGGAACATGCAGTTAATAGATGTACATAAAGTGCTTAGTAGAAAGCTTAACACATAATAATAGCTGTGGCATTTTATATCAGAGCTTCTATAATAATTATTGTTACCTCTGATTTGTAGGAAAGTGAAATTCAGACAGTAGGTAACTTGTGCAGGCTTGAGAGCTGATGAGCGACAGAGCTGCCAGCAGACACAGAGCCCCTCATGCCCATCCTCTTGTCTTCCACAATGGCTCCAACTCACGTGACCTCAGGGGCCAGGCAGTGGGTGTGACTGGGAGCAGTAGCCTGAGTCCCATCCCGTCAGGAGGGGCGGTGTCTGCAGGGGACAGGAGGTCGTGGTCGTTGGGGCAAGGGCAGCAGCTGCCCAGTTCCCATGGCGTTTGATGTCATGTGGAAACGGGAGCTCAATATGCCTGACCTTCTGGGTGTTTTTAATTTTTGAAGATAAAGTAGAAGTTTAGATTTTGTAAGCAATCTTGTAGTTTTAATCGCAGCATAGGACAAAAAGATCTTCAAGCCACATTTGTGACTTCTGTACCCCATTCCTGTCCTCCTCACTGGTCAAGGCAGGGATTCTATCTAGTGGTTCACTAAATTGAAAGTTTCCCAAGGGTTAAGTGGGGAAAGCGGCGAGCGGGGTGGGCAGTAGAGGGGGTGGGCGCAGGGTGAGGCTTGGAGATAACTGAGAGGAGCTGCCTTGAGCAGGAGGGAAGGGGTGTGGGGGAGTTTGGGCTGGGAGAGCATGAGGGCGCCACCAGCCCGTTGTGGAGGATGGGAGCTGTCAAGGTGCTCCTCCAGGCCATCAGTTCTGTGACAAGTGGGCACTGCTCACCGACCCTGGTGACATCAGGACCGGCGCCAAGGGTTACCTGAAGTGTGACATCCATGTGACCGGCAAAGGCGACACCCTGCAGACCAACCCTAAAGCCTCCGACGCTGAGGAGCAAATAGAAAAGTGAGCCGGTCCATCCGGGAGAACTGCTCTGTCCCAGTTGTGTGTCTGTCTCCTCCCCTCCCTCCGCCCCTTCCCTCCCAGCCCGGAAGGACCGCCATGTTCACCGCCTGGGCCCTGGATTCCCTCTCCTGGAGGAAGCAGGGCGTGGCGTGTCGAAGGCATGGCTGGCCTTGGGGAGGTCAGCTTCCCTGATGAGAACTGTCTGCCTCCTCTGCAATGACTTGTTACATAAGCTATTCCTGAGGTCTGTGGTTTATCTGAACACAGCTGATTTTTCTTTGAGTGAATTATAGTTTCAACTGCTGGTGTGTGGCACGGGGAGTCGGTTACCAGTTTTCTTGTTTTTTTTTTTTTTTTTTGGTACAGGGGATCAAACTCGGGTCCTTACGCTTGCATAGCAGGAGTTGAAACCACTGAGCGAGCTAAATCCTCGGCATTTCCTTTTTTTTTTTTTGGTACCGGGATCCTTTAGGATGGAGAGGGACAGGGTCTGCTCTGTGACTGTAGGGCCTGAATGGGTGTGTGGTCCCTGGCGAATGCCCCTCGCTGACATTTACACTAGCAAGAAAACTCGTAGTGGGGAATCTCAGTCTCCTTGCATGTCAGATCTTTCTGCTTCCAAAGTGCTTTTACGTTTTCACTTGACTGTCTCTCAAGTGAGAGAGCTTTTAATTTTTTAAATTTTCTGCCCTCCAAGGAACCTTCTGATCCCACAAGGTTTTCCATCAGAGAGGCCCTGGGCCAGATTCTATGTGAGGCTCTACAGAGCAGAAGGACTGCCCAAGATGAACTCCAGCATCATGGCGAATGTCACCAAAGCCTTTGTGGGCGACAGCAAGGACCTGGTGGACCCCTTCGTGGAGGTCTCCTTTGCTGGGCAGACGGTGAGGACCATTGTCACAGGGGCTGGCCAGCCGGGGCTAGAATCTAAATAAAATAAAAAATCCCTGGAAAGAAACGGCTTGTCCCCAGGAGGCCTTGTGTCAGGGGGTGGGAAGTGGGCGGGGTTCCTGGTTGGAGATGATAGGAGCCACGTGGGGTCACGGCTTAGGTCGCAGGCAGGCATTCCCCGCCTCTCACTGCTCTGCTGAGCCATTCCTCGGTCCGGCCCCCAGGCCCCGCGGCATAACCAGTGTCTCCTAGTCTGGTTCACAATGTACGGGTAGCCCTTGTCCTACGAATGACCGAACAAGAGCAACTGCAAGTACTGGGACTGGGTACCGGGTTGGACCTGGCCGTGGTTGGCACATGTTGTCTCTACCTTCAAAACATGTACCTACCTGAGTCCTTCCCTTTGGCAAGGGTGAGCATGGGTGTGTTTTGACTTGGGTTGATCTTGGATGTCACGTAGGACACCACCTCCATTTTATGGAGGCTCCAGGGGCAGCCTGGAGTAGTGACTCACCCACAGTCACCATCCCGTAGGAGGTGGGCTCAGGGTCTGTGTCTGCTGCACTCCTGGAGATACCAGGAACGGTTCCTGCTCAGAACGTAGGTGTTAATTTCGCCTCTGTGCTGATCAGAAGCTGCCTAGTGCAGTGACTCACTTTGTCCCAGGTATCTGGGGTGACACGCAGCACAAAGTTGTCCCTCAGTAATGTTCGCTGGGTGCACCTGATTTCATAGGTGTGGGGGAAGCAGTTTCATTATTTTTAGCAACTCACTTTATATCTCCAGCTGGCTGAAGAGTTTTCTTTAGACAGTCACTTCCTTCCACAGCTCACATCCTCCTGGCTGTGTTTTTAGGGTCGAACCACGGTGCAAAAGAACTGTGCTGATCCTATCTGGCATGAACAGGTCATCTTCAAGGAAATGTTCCCTCCCCTGTGTCGGAGGGTGAAAATCCAGGTGTGGGATGAGGGCAGCATGAATGACGTGGCCCTGGCAACCCATTTCATCGACCTGAAGACAATCTCCAATGAGCAGGATGGAGATAAAGGTAAAGTCCCATGTCTAGCTCTCAAAGGGATCGCGTGACCGCCCCGTCTTACACAGAGAGGGTCAGCGCAGGTGCTATCAGGCATCTCTCAGCTCTGTGCAGCCTTTGGTGTGCAGAGCCAGCCCTGGGAGTCCAGTGGCGCAGCCTGGCCCCAGGTCTCCCATGAGCATCGCTGTGTCCTTGAGGGAGTCAGAGTTCTTCCTATTGGAGAATAAGTTGAGATCAGGTCAGAGGTTGGTAAACTGAGGTCCAGGGGCCAAATCTGCCTGCTGCATATTTTTGTGTGGCTCATAGGCTGTGAAAGACTTTTACATGTTTAAAAGTCCCCACTCCAAAATAATTAGGTCCCCAACCATCGATGAAAGATGGGAGCATGAAGACGGCAAGGAAGCGTGGCTGGCCGCGCACTCGGCCAGCCAGGGAGGGAGGAAGAGCCCCAGTTCTGCACTAGCCGTGGGGGTCCTGGAAAAGAGCCTCTACTCTGGGTGGGGCTGTTGATGTGCAAAGCCCAAATCATCGAGCAATCATTTCAAAATAGCTCAGCAAAACCTCCTCCTTTAAGTCCCCGGGCAATCTTTCTCTGCACTAACAATTTATGCTAGTTACACACACACACACCTCACAGGTACACCTGTGTGCAGACACAAACACACAGATATATACCCTAAGTGTAATGGATCAAAATATATATCACTTCTATACGAAATTAGCGCATCATTTTATCTTTTCCTCTATTACTCTGAAGGCTTGGCATTAGCAGAATACAAGATCTATCTGTTTTGTGCCCCCCGTGGGTGACACCATAGAAAGACCTCAGTGAGTATTTTTCATTTTTCAGACTGTGGAAGTGTTCACCGCTCCATGCAAAAACATACTCTGCATGATTCCCTGACCCGATGTGAACATGTTCTATTTACAACTTTCCAGAAACATCCTTTAAATTTTATATTTTATTTCTTATTAGTATGTTTCAGTACATAATGTTTACATTTGTCTTAGTAGGTAAGATGTGCTCACCTACTAAGGTTGGTAATGCACTTAACATAGTTTAATTCTCTTTATCCCTTCCCCCTCCCCCCCAGATCACCTTCCCATTTGCAAAAGATCTCTCTGCCTTTCAGAGACTCTTGCCAGCGTTCAGGAAGATGTGTACCGGTGCTTGAAGAGCAGGCATCAGGGACCATAACCCCTCTCCGACCTTTTAACACAATCTTCCTGCTTCTTTACGTCTACTCAAAGGAGAGGTAGACTCCAGTATGTAGAAGTAGAGTTGGAAGTTAGGAAATATTAAGGCACAAAACTGTTCTTAACAGTAAAATATATGGAATTATCTAGTTGTCAACAGTGAGAGAATTGTTAAGTAAATGATGATGCATTTATTCGTACTCATATTAGTAGCTGATGTTATTATTATTATTATTATTATTTTTGGTACCAGGGATCGAACTCAGGACCTTGCGCTTGTGAGGCAGGTGGTGGAACCACTGAGCTAAATCCCCAGCAGTAGCTGATATTACTGAGTGCTTCCAAGGGCCCTGCATGAGGCACTTACTGGATGTTACCTCTTTTCATCTTCATAGATGAGATAGGTACTATTAGCGTTTCCTCCAGGTGAGGAAACTGAGGCACGGGAAAGTTAAAAGCCTTGCCCAAGGTCACATGGCTCGAAAGTGCCAGAGCTGAGATTTGAACCCACGCAGTCAGTCTTCAGTGACTGTTGCCTGTTGCACCACATGTTGCAGCACCCATCAGAAAGGAACACGATGGCACCAAACAGATGTTCCCTTAGGCACTGCGCCCTCTCTCAGACACTGTGTATGAAGAGGGGAAAATAGTTATGGCAGGAGGAAGTTAAAAATTTCAGTAGTGCACTTAGAACATATCTCAGAACATTCATTTCTCTCAGTCTCTACTGCCTTAACCAGGCCAAGCTGCAGTGTCTTCAGTTTTGAAGAGGAAGTCGTCCCCACCTGTTTGCCCACTTCCATTCTTTTTTTTTTTTTTTTGGTACGGGGATCGAACTCAGGACCTTGGGCTTGCGAGGCAGGTGGCAGAACCACTGAGCTAAATCCCTGGCCCTCCCACCTCCATTCTCCATTCTTATAACCCTTTCCACTGCAGCCAGCATGGTCTGAAAGATCTGTGCTTAAATCCCTTTACAATATTCCCATAGATTTTAGGATAAAGACCACAATCCTTTGCAAGAACCCTAAGACCCCCCAAATCTTTTCAAGCAGCTCAATCTCTAGCTCTGTGCTCCTTTGCAATGGGCACATGCCATTTCCTCTGCCAAAACTCTCTCTCTCTACATGCTACATGGATCTCTTCTTGTAGCACAAGATACAGCTCTTTCATAGTAATGTAGTACTATGAAGTATTACTATGTAATATTTACTTTATAATGTAAGTATTTCTCTGCTAATGTCTGTTTCTGCCTGCCCTCTCCTGGACTCTATGGTTATTGTCTAACCCGGCTCCTGGCACATGTTAGGAGCCAATCAACATCTGTTGAATCAATGAAGACAAAGGCATGTGAGCAGGTCTTTATAATACTATTACAAGTGAGAGCAAGAATCAACATTCACAGAAAAAAAACTAGGAGAAAATTTAGTGAAATATTTTGGTGACAGGCTACCCTGTAAATATTTTTTTGGTCTTTCTGTATGCCTACATTTTTGAGTGTGTGTGAACAACTTTCGAAAAGCAAACATGAGAAACTTGAGAGTGTAACCAGCTAACTAAAGCTGGGTCTCCTTAGGCTTCCTCCCGACCTTCGGACCTGCCTGGATTAACCTGTACGGCTCCCCCAGGAACCACAGTCTGATGGACGACTACCAGGACCTGAATGAAGGCTTTGGGGAAGGAGTGTCATTCAGGGGCAGGATCTTGGTAGAAATTGCTGTGGAAATCCTCTCGGGAGGGGCCCAGGAGTCTAAATTCTCCAAAGCCATGAAGAACCTCAAGTTGACTTCCAAGGACAAAGATTCCAAATCATCCAAAGGCTCGAGTAAGGACAAGGCTGAGAAAGCTGATGATGGAAAATCCCAGCAGGCTTCGGACAGAACGAACTCAACTGAGGTTGAGGTGGAGCCCTTCGAAGTGGCCCCGGAGGTAGGTCTGAGCAATGTCCACCCCAGGGAGAGAGGTACCTGACCCAGTCCGGAAGGCATCTGCCTCACATCTCATTCTTCCTGTGGATTTGCAGTGCCCTAACCCGTACCGGGGCGGATCCTCTGCCTCCCGCACCCACAGCCATCTGTTCACCATCCGTCCCTCTTCCTTCACTGTCCCTCCACCCGCAAGCACGGACTCCATGGGAACCAAGGGAAGGGACAGGAAGTGCTGTGGGGAGCTGGTGGGAGTGAGTGGTAGGGTGACTGACTGTACCTGTGGACTAATTTTGTTTAGCTGCCTTGGGGTACAGTGTTCTCTGGCTGTGAGATCATGCAGGAGGGAGGAGAGGAAGAAGAGGAGGAGAGAAGCTGGGATGTAGGAACTTGAGAAACCCACTCCCCTGCCCCAGACCTGTGAAGGAGTCACAACTCCAGGGAGCTTTCCTCGATTATTACTCACCATAAAGGACGTCAGCATTTTCTCAGCCCGCTTCTGTGTTAGGGGCAAGAGATCCGGGGGTCCAAGATGACTGCCACTGCAAATGTCCTCTCAGAGGTTAGCTTGGCAATGAGGGCCCGTGGCTGAGCAAGTGAGAGAGTCATCAGTAGCAGAAGGAGGTAGATTCCAGCTCTCAGCTTAGCTCATTCTGCCTCGGGGGTGTTTCCTGGGTCCACAGGTTGAGGGTGCTGGGTATTCTTCCAGAGCTGTCCATTTCTAGGAGACCAGGAAGACTGCAGGCCTGGAACAGGAGGGCTACCTTAGCTACTTTTACGCTGGGATCTAATAAATCTTAAGAAATTGTAAGGGAGAAATTAGAGTCCAAGACTGGAAAGTCTGGCGTTGGTTCTACTAGTGGTTCTGATGCTAATGCTGCTCTGTTTACATCTACTCGCCAGCAAAATCAGGCAGGAATAGCGGCCCTGACGTACGTGTATGCTGGGGGGATGAGAGAATACATGCAGTTTGGTCTGCAGAGCTGGGGCACAGCCAGCTTGCAGCGCAGTTGCTCTTCTCAGTGGGCTTATGATTTGCTCTCACCACCAGGGGCCAGCTACTCAGAGTGCTCCTTCGCTGTGGGCGACTCAGTATTTCGGCAGCCTCACTAGCTCTTCCTCTGAACTCACATACTTGGAAGTATTCTCTGGAAATGTTTGTTGTCACTTTGTGGTGGTTACTGTCAGCATTGTCTTTATGCGACTCGTGTGTGTATTCAGAATATATGGCAATACTGGAAACTCGACTTTGGGCTTTACCAGAAATTGTGGACAGCTTAAGGCTACCCAAGCTGACATCCCCACATCTCTCCCTTTGGCCCTCTTTCTGCTGTGGGGTGAGTTTGGACACTGTTTTTAAAACCAGGGTTTGCTTTTCTAAGCAGAAAGAAGCTAGAAAAAGATTTTCTTAATTCAAGTCAATACTTTAAGACACTTTGTGGAGGGAACCTGAAGCAGTAAACTCTATCAGAAAGCAGGAGGAGTTGGAGCTAGTGTGCGATAGACACAGTGCACCCATCGGCAAGGCAAGGGCCACTGTGCCTTGTGCAGAAGGTAGCAGAGGAGGAGAAACTCAAACATCATCCAACATCGAGCTTCCCTTCCCTCCTCTGTCTTGGCTTCCTGTGTATGGCCAGCTTCGTGTTGCCCACTGCTGCACAACAGCTGACTCCAAAGGTCAGCCACTTTAAACAGTTGCTAATTTTTTCGGTGGGTGAGGAATTTGGGAATAGCTTAGCTCCGTGTTCTGGCTCAGGATTTCTTGTGAAGGTTCAGTCAAGATCTTGGCCGGGAATAATTATATCAAAAAATGTTCAACATCTTTAGCCATCAGGGAATTGTGACTCAAAATCGTATTGGGATTTCGCCTCACCCCAGTCAGTATGGCCATGATTAAGAATGTAAGAAATAGCAAATGTTGATAAGGATGCATGGAAAAGAAGCCCTTTACACTGCTGGTATATAAGAACTCCTTGTAATGTAAATTAGTACAGCCGTCATAGAAATCAGTATGAAAGTTCTTTAAAAAACTAAAAATAGAGATACTATTTGATCTGTTGATGCTTTTCTTTGGTATATATGCAAAAGGAACTAAAGTCAGCCTATGATAGAGATATGTGCATATCCATGTTTATTGTGGCACAATTTACAGAAGCCAAGTTATAGAATCAGCCTCTGTGCCTGTCACCTAAATAACGAATAAAGAAAGCATGGCACATATACACAGTGGAGTATTACTCAACCGTAAAGAAGAATGAAGTCATGTCATTTGCAGAAAAATGGATGGAACTAGAAATTATCATATTAAAGGAAGTAAGTCAGACGGAGAAAGACAAGGATTCCATGTTTTCCTTCATATGTGAAATCTAGAAAAACAAAGATGACATGAAAGTAAAAGGAAGACCACTAGGCAAGAGAAGGGGTTGGGAAAGGGGTAGGGTAGGGCAGTGGGACAAGGGATCCGATCACAGTGATGTGTGTATGCATCCTGATCATTATATGTATGGTCATTGTATATATGACTATTACATGTAGGTGTGAAAGTGCCACAATGAAACCCAATATTCTATGTAGTTTGTATACACTAATAGAATATCTAGCAGGAAATAAAGGTGTTGGTAGGGAAAGCGCCTTCTGAGGGCTTCACTGGGGTTGAGAATCCCCTTCCAACATGGCTCCCTCAGAGCAGGGGGCTCTGCTCCGTGCCTCATGCACCTCCTGAGGGCTGCTTGGGAGTCCTCAGGATGTGGCTTTCCCTGGAGTGCATAATCCAAGAGGGACCACGGCTGACCTTCTCTCAGGACCTAGCCCTGGGCTTCTGTTCAAGTATCCTACTTGTTAGAAATGAACCATTCAGTCCAGCCCAGTGCAAATGGCAGGAAATTAGACTTCACTTTTTTAAGGGGAAGTTTAGCTACGAATCTGTGGGCATTTTTTTTTTTTTTTTGTATCAGGGATCGAACTTGAGTCCTTGCACTTTTGGGATAGGCAGCGGAACCACTGGCCCAGTGGGCATTTTTTAAACCACCATGCTGGGCTTAGAACATTACACCTCACTGTTTTCTTAGCTTGGGGAATTAAGGTATCCTTCTGGAAAGGAAAGGAATTTGAGCTAGACTTCAAAGGATGTGAAGAATTAGGACATTAATTCTTATGAAAATCTTATCATAGTTACCATTTGTGGTGTATATATGTGTAGGCATTTTCCTGGGTACTCCAATGAATGATGCATCTGCCTCTCTCCTCCCTGTAGGCCTTAATAGGATGTTTGTGCTATAGACAAGGCAAGTGACAGCCGGATAACAGACAAGACCTGCCACTAGGAGGTAGCAGAATTGGGACTTGAAGGCTCTTCTGCCACACTTGCTACTTTCCGGCTGCAAGACCCCATCCCCCCAGGTGTTTTAGTGGTTTTTGCCTCCTCCCAGAGTCAACTGAACCTCACAGGGCAAGCCACGAGGCTGGCTTGTGGCAGAGTGTGGCTGAAATTCAGGACTGAGCCTCCAGCCTGCTCTGTGTTTTCTGAACAATGGAAATATTTCCTGGGTTTTCCAGCACCACCAGGGCTGCCGTGGGAAGGAAGGGTCACTTTGAACCTAATAAAGTGGATCCTTTGACTGTGAGGGACACAGTTCAGGTGCTTGTCTGAATGGAACTTGATCCCTCGGGACAACTGCTTTGTCTCCTTCGATGAACCTTACTCCCTTTTTCTGCAGAATTGAACAAATCCACACACAAGGCCAGGAAGCACTGAGTGCGTGCCCCAGCTCACGCAGGCTCTTACCCAGCAGTGTGCTGCCGAGTTGCTGTGCCCGGGGACCTCTGCTCCCCGAAGCATCAGCTTGTTCTAGGTCAATAGAAGCCATTTGCAAGTAATCAGGTGCTACCTGTGAGGCTCCGGCTGGTGGCCTGCGGTGCAGTCTCCCACTTGGGCACCTTGACAAGGCAGACTCGGTGGGAGCAGCTCCCAAGTCTTGTCCGACTCCAGCTTGCTGCGTGAGCTTTCATTTGTTCAGGTGAAGGTGGAGGTTGGAGTAGATGAGCTCTCAGGCATTTTGCTTCGGGGCCAGGGACTCCTCACAGTGGTGAGCACAGTGTGTGTCACGCTGCCGGGATGTACTTGAGGGTTGGTGCCTGTGTGTGCACCTGACCCTCCTGTCCTTTCATCTTGGTTTGCTCATTATTCCCTGAAGTAAACTTTAACTTTGGATCAACACCAGGGCATTGGGCTAACACATGCTAGAGCTCAGAGAGTATGGGGTTCTGGGGTCAGAAGACCTGGAAAAGTTACCCTCAGCTTCAGGCCCTGTCTGTGAAAGTGGGAATGGTATAGCTTTTGATCCCTCAGTTATTAGGAGGAACAACTAACAGTGTGAGCGCCCTCTCTAGGCCAGAACGTTAAGCTCAGACGTAAGGGTTAATCCTGTGACTCTTGGTCGCTCAACTTTGATTTCCTGCTTCCTAAAAGCCTGGTCAGTGGAAAGTCACCCCAAGCCTGTGTGATATCAACAGCATCTGCGAAAGACCCACACACCAGTCCCACTCTTTGTCATGGAAGGCGATTTTCTGTATTTTAAGACAGCAGATGAGAAGGTCGAGCTTGTCTCACTAGACAGGTGGCTGAGTTTGGGTTTGGGGTCTGCTGGCCGTGATTCTCCCTGTCTGATTGGGGGGGGAGGTGGCATTTCGGGTGGAACAGAGACTCAACTGCCTACAAATGATGATGGACAAGTCAGCATCATTCATTTAGCTTCCTGGTGAGAAAAAGAAAGCTCATTCTGTGTGGTAACTTTTTTCTTCCTTAGATTATACCAGAAAAGTATGAGGAATTTTTACTCTTTGGAGCTTTTTTTGAAGCTACCATGATTGACCGAAAAATTGGCGATAAACCCATCAGCTTCGAAGTTTCTATTGGTAAGTGCAGATAAGTGCAGGGCTTAATCCCTATTTCTTGGCTAAATTATTTAGCACCCTGAGATGGTAACACTCTGGTAGGGGTTTGTATCTGCATCCCAGGAAGAAATGAAAGATTCCTTGTCTACCCTAGGATCATTATGTAAGGATAAATTTACCTTCATTCCCTAAAAAAGATGAAGAGTATAGTTTTAGATTCAGACATATTTGGATTGCTAATCTTGGCTCCATTACCCTGGGCTCACTTAAGTTCCTGGGTCTCAGTTTTTCATCTATCAAAAAGGAATAATAATAACTCCTCACACATTTGCAGGGCTTAGTAAGTTAACATAGGCAAAATACCACACATCCAATAGATGCTGTTATTATAATTTCTAGCAACCTTCTTGGCCTATTGTGCAGCTGGGAAAATCATCCCAAGGAAGAGCATTCCATCAGAGTAGGTCTGGATTCACATTTAGGTAGCTTTTCTGTAAGAGGGCAGAAGAAAATGGAGATGGGAGCCAGTCCTTTTGAGCCATACAGCTGGAGGCCTGACACGGAATCCCATGCCTGCATGCCCGCAGCGTGGAGACCTTTGGGGAACACTATATTATAGGGAAGATAGAGGGACTGAAGGGTTTGCTCTTAGAAGAGAGATTTGGGGTACAGACTGAGTGAGATCTGAGAACTGGCTTCAGGCCTCTGAGGGCTGGAGTAGAGGAAAGAGCCTCATGACATAGGGCTCCAGGTGGCTCTGTCCAAGGAGAACCTGGCAGTAGACAGGAAGGTCTGTTTCTGGCCTGGGTTGCACAGAGAGGCAGAGATCTGCGTATGGGCGTGGCCCTCCTCTGAAGTCCTGTTCCCCAGTATCCCATTCTCTGACACTAACCTCCATGCCTTCCACTCTCTTCTTTCATTCTGTCTTCCCATCTACTATGGAGACATCCAACTGTCTGCTCCTCTGTGTCCTGGCCTCTCTCACTTCCATCTCTACCTCCCTCAGACCACAGGGCTCTCCCTTCAGCCACTCTGTTCCCGGTTGTCTCAGTTCTCATCCCTGTTATTCTATCAAGACTCTCAATCTTTGATCTTCCTACCTACCCTCCTCCTCTGCTTTCATGCTGTGGTTTCATGATCGATTTCCTAAGGATTCGTGGTTTCAACTGTAAGGGATGTCTGAGAGATTGGATAACCTCCCCATTTACACAGCCAAAGAATGTTAGAAAGAAGATAGAATAAGTCTCTTCCTCTGTCTAGAAGCCATGATGCCTCCCTCAAGTCCACTAAATAATGGAGAAGGGAAGGAGTGAAAGAACTGGAATGAGACTAGGGAGAAGCACTGTTGTGGACATAGTAACACACTGAGGTTACTGTTCGCCAAATGCGTATCAAGACCTTCTGTGCCATGAGCAGTGGTGGGCAGTGGAGACATAAAAATTTAAAAGAGAATTCCCATTCTCAAGAAGTATACAGACATTTGAGTCGATTACCTGAGAACAGATGGCAGAGGTGTGACAGAAATATGCATGTGGTGCCAGGGACCTGTTTAGGTGAGGTGCCCGGAAACACCTGACCTGGGAGGATTCCTGGATGAGTCCAGTTTTGGTGGCATGCTCTCAGGAGAAGGGTGTGAATGGGGGGCAGAGGACAGGTCTCCTGGGGTGGGGAGACTAGCCACTGTCTGATCCTGCAGGGAGCTCTGAGGTGCGAGGGCACTGCAGGCTTGGTCCCATCCTGAGGCCAGGGGGCCAGGCTTTTCTGTCCCTGGAGAGGGGATTCATGCACAGGAGGGCCAGGCCATCACCGTCAGCAGGGGCCAGTTCTCCCAGGAAGGCACAGTCGCGTGAGGGCCCACAGGCATTTTGGTAGCTGGGTACTGGGTTCCCCTTCCCAGCAGAGGGGTCTGGGTGAGGCATCAGAGCATCTGCTACAGAGGTACAGAGTAGTGAACCAAGGAGAGGAAGGGGTCGGGGGAGGCATGAGCAGGCAGCAGGGAACCTCCCAAGTTAGGAGGCTCACTGACCACAGCTTCACTGAGACACAGTCGGCCACCTGTGATCTGGCTGCCTCTGGAGCTCCATCCAAAAGCGCTATTCCTCTTAGTCTCTGTAAGCATTTGAAATCCGGCTGTAAAATGGAAAGCTCGATGACCAGTGACCTTGCAGAGGACATCTGTCCTTATGCAAAGGTATCTGTAGTTCAGAAGCTGCCCGATTTGGCCCACGTGTGCTCCTTCCCTCCCTCTTCCCCTGCTCCCTTGCTTCCTCCCTCTTCCTCTTGTCTCTTCCTTCCTCTCCAACCTCCTCTTACTTTTTAAAAGCATGGTATTGTCTTTGAGGACTTAGATAAGAAGTCTTCTCTTAGAGGAGAAGACATTTTCGAAAGACACTCACGATATTTTGTTGAATGAAAAATCCGGACGTCTTGGTCACTTCCCATTGCTGGACACAATACCTGACACCCGCCAGGAGGGGGCGCTTTACTTGGCTCCTGGTTCCCAGTGGGTTTAGTCCAAAGCTGGCTGCTCCACGGCAGAAACGCAGGGTGGAAGGGCCTGGAGGGGGAGCCCTGCTCACCCCAGGGTGGCCAGGAGCCAGAGAGAGGAGGGAGGAGCGGGGACAGGAGCGCGTTGTTTGCAGGCCACGCCCCCAGTGACCCTCTCAGCACGTTCAGCTACTGGACTCATTAGGGGACTAATCCACTGGTGAGTACAGCGCTCCCGGGATCCAATCCCCCTCCAAATGCAGGAGGCCTCGGGGGGACTTTTCCTGATCCAAACCATGACGTTAACCATGTTACAAAATAACACGTCTACCATGATCACTGCCAACATCTCTATGGAAAGTTTTGAAAGGATATACACTAGGATTTAAAAATGGTTATAACTAAATTTGGTAATTTCCAGCGACTCTTTTCTACTTGACTGTATTTTCTAATTTTTAATTTGTGTAGGGTTTACAAAAGAGAGAATAAGATGGACGGACACGATGGCTTGTTGTCTTTCCAGTCTAATTTCGTTGTCGCCCTTTGTTCTTTGCACTTACCTCCTGAGGTCGTCCCTGATTACGGGAGGACATTGAGTTGGACCCTTGTGCCAAGCAGGCCGATTCTACCTGTTGAGCCCAAGCCTCTCTCCCCTGGCGACTGCCTCTGCAGGTAATTTTGGGAACCTGATCGATGGAGGGTCCCACCATGGGAGCAAGAAGAAATCAGCGGAATCAGTGGAGGAGGAGGACATCCTGCCGCTGCTTCACGAAGGAGCAGGGGATGCAGCTCATGAGGCTCCCATCTCTATGTCTCCCACCACATGCCCCGAGAAGCCTCTGGTGACTGAAGGGAACAGGTAGGACACGCGACAGGTGACAACAGCTGAAGTTTCTGTGGGAGGGTTTCGTCCAATTCCTGGGGCTGTTGAATTCAGTTCTTCCCCAAGATCAGAAACATACATTTTTATCTCAGTTATGGGAGCAACCTGCAAACGGGCGACACAGTGGGTACCACTGTACTCGACCCTTAGCAACAAGGCAACAGCTCTCCAAATGACACAGGCGGGTACATTATTTAAGGGAAGAACAGTGACGATGGTTGTTATTATATCCGCAGCACCTTTTACTCTATGCCTCTGACACATAACAAAGTAGGAAGATGAGAATTTAAAATTTCAGTGCCAGCCACAGAGGAGCTGATGTCCTAAGGGTGAGACAGACGTAGGAAATGGAGGAGAGTGTTTGGGACAGAGTAGAGTAGAGTAAGGTAAAATAATCTTAACTGTTTTTCTCTCATTTTTGATGATTTCCTACATTTCCTAAACTCTGCCCCCCCAAGGACCACATTCCCCCTCCATGGGTCTTCGGGGGTGGCCTCTCTTTTTGACGACCTGGCAGCCACCCTTGGTGTCCCTCCTCTTTTTGAGGTGAAAGAATCTCAAACTCCCCATCCTTTAACTCCGTGCTTAAGACTGCAGACATCAGTGAGTGGATCCTATGACTAGATCTGCAGAGCTGGGAGACTTTCTGAGATGGCCCAGGTTCTTTGCTTCCAAAATCATCCCTGCTTTGCTGGAGCAACCCTTTATTGACTATGGTGGGCTTCCAGAGGCTGCAGTCTGGAAAGGCTTAGGAGGAGCTGAGCAGTCTGAGGCATCCCTGGTCTGACCCCGTGTAAGTACTGGCTCAAGGAGACTGAAACAAGGCATGCTGAGTTTTCAGTACTTTTGGGCTTTCTTCATATTTCCCAGTCACTGTATGGAAACTGCTTAGAGCAGCAATCCGTGGAAGCAGCAGCTGAAGCGAAAGATTCTATATCTATAATAGACCCTCAAATATGTGTGTGCACACATGCAACTTATTTGTCAATTGCACTCAATAAAATGCCACCATGTAGGTATCCCGGGCTTTCTGGTTGTACACGGCACGTGCATTCCCATGCAGTTTATGTGCTCAGGAGTGAGCCCAGAGCAGCAGCAGGAAAGGGCAGACTGCATCCTCAGGACTCCAGCCCTACCCTGCGTCGGGGCAGCCAGCCCACCTGGCAGTCTTCTCTCCCCATGGCAAGAGGCGCCCTCCCACCTGCTGCCTTCCATCCGCACTGGCTGTGTTGGCCTGAGAAGCCTCAGTCTCCCGGTCCATGTGTCCATTCCATTCTTGGAATCAGCCCAAGAACCAGGGACAAAGGCCCTGAACAGCAGTAGCACAAAACGGTCCCAACCACGGAAGCCTGAACCAAGAACAGCCCTGAGGGGGAACGTCTGTAGTTGCAGGATGCTCAGTGTGGTAATTTAAAGAGATAAAAGAAAATGAACAGTCTGGTTCCTAACCTCTGTTACCATTGCTCTCCTGCTGTAATGGCAATCTCAGTTTCTGCCAAGGACTTATTTGGCTTCTTTTCTGAATAAACACCTGCTGGTTTATTTTCTGCAGAACAGGCCGGGGGCCCTTTGCTAATTCTGCTGTCTGCTTCAGAAGAAACTTGTGTTGAAGAGCTACAAAGAACAGCCACCCACTCCTTCAGGCTGAGGCTGTCTTTGTGGTGGAAGTAAAGCTTGTTCTCTGTCCCTGTTTCTCTCTCTCCCTGCCTCACTACCACAGGGCATTGCTCCAAACACCGTCCACAGGATCACAGCGCCTGTGCCCTCTGCCACCACACTCCTTCCCAGCACTTCTCTTGACATAGTCCCGGGTCTCTGTGAGGAAACTGCAAGGGCTGTGGGGAAAAACTAGTCAAGAAAATAGCCATCATTAGCATGGGACTTCTACACTTTCTTCCCCCCCATCTGCTTCTACCCCTACCCTTTCTTCCCCGGGAATCAAATCTACAAGTCATTCCCTTTTCTGTCTTCCAACTTACCCTGCAAGCTGTCGCTTTCTCACCAGCATTTAAGCATACCCAGCTGCCACCCTCAGTGTTCTCTGTGCCTCCATTTCTACTCCTTTTAACCACTGTGCTATCCCCTTTGTTTCTTCTTAGCCAAGCAAGTCGCCTGCATTATCAGTACCAATGCCTAGCAACAGTTAATACTGGGTGGATGGATGGGTGGGTGGATGGATGGACGAGTGGGTGGATACCATGGCATAGAATACTTAAATTTAGTTTGGGGCATTTGCCTTCACACTCATGAATAATATTTTTACATTTTTCTAGCAGTGTCATTTTACAAAATGCATTGACATCTGTTATCTCAATCGATCCTTACATGTGCCTGGAATATAGATGCTAAAGCAAGTTAATTTTCCTCCCTTTTTACTTTTCTCAATTCAAAACCTCTTTGAAGAAGCCATACCTGATAAGTCCTGCCCTTTGATGATCACTTCTAAGCTTTACCCCAGGTCTGATGGTGACTGTTAATACCTCTCATTACAGCTGTATAACTCTTCATTGCTTTTTGTTCATGAGTCCCCACTTACAGACTAAGGATGGTGTTAATGGTTTGATAGTTTTGTCTTGACTCCTCTGCTGCCCCATCGGAGCCTAAAAAACAGGAACATGTGGGTGGAGTTGCCTGAAAAGCATTGACTGCCTACTAACTTCCTGACCTAATGTGCTTTCGCAGGAATTACAACTATTTGCCATTTGAGGCCAAGAAGCCCTGTGTCTCCTTCATCAGTTCCTGGGGAGACCAGACCTTCAGGCTGCACTGGTCTAACATGCTGGAGAAGATGGCAGACCTCTTGGTAGGTGACTCTGATAGGTGCTGGACTTCACAGATGAGGAAACTGGGGACAAAAGGCAGATTTTTCCCTACCCAGTTTGAGGGTCTCCTTCACAGCTTAAATAGCATTGAATCGAGCTGCTGTCTTGTGGGAACACATGTCTCCTGCCATGTGGACCCAGGGGAATGAGAATACATTTTGCAAAAATCCCCAGACTTCAAGTCAAACTATCTGAATTCTGATCAGAATTCTCTGCTTTTCTCTGTTATGGGACCTAGCAATAGGCTGATTTCTTAATCTCCAAGGGATAGGGGGCTGAAAGCATTCTGACAAAATCAGTAAGTCCTGGCTTCAGCAAATCTTCTTCTCCAATTCTCCCATCTTTCTTCCCACGCCGTTCATCAAGAAGAACATCTGCTGCTTACTGTCCGCTCACCTCACCAAATGACCCTTGTTTTGGTCCTCCCACTCTGTCAAAGCCTATCTGAAGGAAAGAACACATTTCTTCTTCTCATTTGCTCAGCACTCCAGTTGTTTGCAGCAGTGTACTATCTCTGGCTATGGATTCCAGGCATCCTGAGTCTAGACTCTGGAGAGAGCTAGCCATGGTCACGCCAGATGGAGGCACAGGCGCTCTTTTTAAGGCTGGTCTTGCTGCTCCTTCAAACAGAGCAGAGAGGTTACTTCTGAGTTTTGACAAAAACAAGTCAGATTTTATTCCTGGAGACCACAGAGGCTTTTAGCACTCATCTCTAATTTCCATCTCAGTGTTAGGGTCCCTTCAATCATGGCTAACGTGGTTGCAGTTCACACTCCATACAGCATTGTGGCTGGGTGCTATTCTTACCCTATTTTACAGATGAGGAAATGGGGCATAAGGGGTAAGCAGTAGAACTTGGATTTGAACCCAGAAAGTATGACCCCAATTCCCAAATCTTCAATACTCTGTGATGCTGCCTGTTCTTCTAGTGAAGGGAGAAAGAGGGGAACATATGTCCCCGCCATCAGACTCTGGCACATGATAGAAAATAGAGTCTTGTAAATTCTAGCAAAGCAGTGGCAGTATGTACATTTGTGCTTGGGTACCATTTTCACTCAGGCTACTGAAGGGAATGCTAGAATTTAAGCCCCAAAGGAAAACTGGAATTTTAAAGTATAGAAGTATATAGTCATTGCCATACACAACCCACCATCCATGGCCGAATTCATACAGTCAGATAAATGGACAGCTTTTAGTTTTGGAGGTTATTCAGTGTGGTTCCATTACTATTTGACAAACTGACTCAAACATAGCTTTTGACTTTTTGATAATTATATCTAATTTAATGTATCAGAGACCTCTACAGTAGGTTCTGATCTCCTGCTTGGTGCTATGGCGCAAGGCTGAGAAAAAAAGTAAAAGACAGAACTAAAAAGACAAAGAAACCAGGGAGCCAGAACGGCCAATGCTGCTCATTTAGCAAAAACACTGGTTAGTCCAAGGCACTGATTTATATTGGTAATCAATTGGGGTAAAGGTGAACTACGTGCTAAAGGGGAACTACTGTGAGGACATGCAGTCGAGCAGTAACTGTGGATACTAATGCAAGCAAGGCTTGTAAAGAACAAGACAAAGCATTCTCAAATTAGGAACAGAGCAAACAAAATATATGGTGGTAATTAGAACATTGTCCTTCTAGTTAAGAAAGTTTTAGTTGTGGGAATGGAATTTGGGTGTGAGTTACTCTGACCTCAGCATGTAGGATTTGGCTGGACTCACTTCTCAAAACAAGCCCATTGAGGGGTTAGCTCCTCACAGCCTGCACTGCTCACAGCCTGCTTTGGGCATGATCAATATTACGGTCACCTACCGTAATCTACGTTGTTAGATTTCCCATGAGATTAGGTTCCCCCAAAGAGTAGACTCTGAACAAATGGCTCCCAGTTAGGGAACAAATCTGTGGCACAAACAACAAGTCTGAGCAATGCAGGTGAAGGCATGTCTGGAACAATTCTAACGAAGAAAAAGCAGGCACAAAGTTAGAAAGAAGCAGCACTTTCAGTTCAAGCACATTAGCTCTTCTTTCATTTCCGAAACAACAGCAACAAAAAACCCAGCCACATATTCTGGGATGTTCAATCAATATCTCTATTACATCTCCAATTCCCTCTGCTCATCCCTCCCCACCTGTGGTCTGTTTTCAGGTAGAAGGTATAGAGGAAGTGAGAGAACTGATCAAGGCTTCTGAGGAGGCACCGGAAGAGAACATGAAGGCTGTATTGAGTGACTTCATCAGTCAAAGCAGGTGCGGCAGATGCAGAGCTGAGCTTAGTGCAATCCGCTTGTAATTACCTGGAGAAAATAGCCTATTCCACATGCATTCAGATGGGCATTTGTAGAGCTACATCCTTCTTTATTTCTTTCAGTGACTTAGCTGGCACTTGTGGGTAATTTCTGCTTCTGAATGTTTGAACAACTAAAAGATAAACCAAAGGGGAGAAACAAAAAAGAAAGACAGACTGAGTGCAGAATGTCTCTATGAAACAAGCAAAATTCCTGCCAGGGTTAGTGCCCAGCATGCTGCTTTGCTTTTGGTACTCAGCAACTATTTGACAATTAGATGGGTAAATTATATCAAATGCTACTTAATTGAAATTTCCATATAGCACATTAATAAATGCCACTTAATAACTCTTACCCTCTGTGTCAGAAAGTATTATAAAAGATCAAAAATGGAGTGCACAGTGGTCTACGGCTGAGTAACAAATTAGCCCAAAACTCAGTGAATTGACACAATATTTATTATCTCATGGTTTATATGTTTCGGGAATCCAGGAGGGACTCAACTGGGTCCTCTGGTAAGGCCTCTTCTTGGGTGAAAATTCAAAGGCATTGACTGGGTTGAAGTCATCTCCGGGCTCAGCTAGGAGGGCCACTTCCAAGGTCACTTGTGTGGGTATTTACAGAGTTCAGTTCTTCACGGCACTGCACTCGGGCCTCCGGCTCCACCATGTAGCAGGTTTCTTCATCAAATGAGCAGGAAAGATGAGGCAGAAAGCAGGATGCAACTGGAAGTGTCATCGCATCAGTGTTGGTGAATTCTGTTAGGAGCTAGCCCCATGCAGGGGAGGGAATCACATGGTGCCTGAATTACAGGAGGCGGGGCTCCCTGGGGACTGTCTGCCCGGATGACTAGCCAATGCAAAAACAACTTGGACCAACTCTTGACGTAATTATATCAAGACGTGAGCAAAATGAGAATTTACCTGAATGGAATTAATAGAAAGGGAATAGAGATTAATTTGATAAAAGTCAAAACCCGTAGACAGGCAGTAGTTAACCTGGTATTCTGCTTTGTAATCTGTTTTTGAATCTCTCAAATACCCAGCTGTTTTTACTTCATAGAAGGAAGAAAGCAAGGAAATAAATCTTTTCAGTACTTCAGCTTTTGGTAGTACGAGTCAGCTCAGCACTGATGGAAACGCACCAGGGTGCCCAGCGCAGCAGCCTCCAGACCCTCAGGATCGGGAGGTCAGGCTGCATCCTCTCGGGCTCTTCAGTATGTCCAAGGGAGCTGTGCCTCCTCTGGTCTTTTCTTTCTCTTCTTGGTTCTTTATTTTCATTTTATTTTTTAAAATTAATTTTATTGGTACATTTTAGGTATACAATATACTAACATTCATCATTGGAAATTTGCACCTTTACATAATCTCTCCTGGTTCTTATTTTTTCCCCCTTCCCCTGTCCTCCCTTCAATCCCTCCATCCCTCCCTATTTACAAAGAATTTGTTTCTCTTTTTACATTTTCTCATATTAATTCCATTCCCTTCTTTCCTTTCCCCTACCCCTCCCACTTCCCCTTCCCCTTTGCCCCTTTTCTTCCTATTTTCACATTATCTATTATACCATTTAGTCCTTATTTACACTTTCAGTTTCTCACACCAGAGAAACAATTCGGTATTTACACATGTGTGTCCTATTTATTTCACTTAAGAGTATTACCTCAATGTGCATCCATTTAGCTATAAATGTCTATAGTTTCTCATTCTTTATGGCTAAGTAATACTCCATTTTATTAAAAAACCACATTTTCTTTATCCAGTCTCCAGTTGATGGGAAATTGGGCTGTTTCCAAGTTTTAGCTATTAAAAACTGTGCTGCTACAAACATGGGTGCACATATATCACTGTGGTATGGTTCTTTTAATTCTTTGGGGAAGATACCCAGCAGGGGAATAGCTGGGTCAAATGGGACCTCTAGTCCTAGTTCTTTGAGGTAACTCCATACTGATTTCCACAGTGGTTGCACCAGTCTGCACTCCCACCAGCAGTGGAGCAGGGTTCCTCTTTCCCCACAGCCCTGCCAGCCTTTGTCGTTGGTTGATTTCATGATAGCAGCCATTCTTTCTGGGGTGAGGTGGAATCTCAGCATTATTTTCATTTGCATCTCTCGAATGACCAGTGATTTTAAAAGTTCTTTATAGATTCTAGATAGTAGACTTTTGTCTGAGGAACAGCAGGTGAAAATTTTTTCCCACATTGTGGGTTGTCTCTTCACACTGCTGCTGGTTTCTTTTGCTGTGCACAAGCTTTTTAATAAGAAGAGATCCCATTTGTTGATTGTGTTAATTCATGGGCAACTGAGGGTTTGTTCTTAAAATCTTTTCCTACACTAGTGTCTTCAAGAGTTCTACCTAACCTCTGTTCCAGCCGGTTCAGCGTTTCTGTTTTAATATTTAGATCTTTAAGCCATTTCCATTTTAGTTTAGTGCATGGTGAGAGATATAGGTCTAGTTTTAATCCTTAGCAAGTTTTTCCAGCATCATTTATTAAAGAGGCTGTCTTTCCTCCAGTGAGGGTGTTTGGCTCCTTTGTTTCGTTTTGATACTTGGGATCGAACTCTGGACCTTGCGCTTGCTTGGCAGGCACTGGAACCACTGAGCTAAATCCCCGGCCCTTGTTTGGCTCCTTCATGGAAGATGAGGTGGCTGAGTGTGTCTGGAGTTGTTTTTGCATCTTCTAATCTGTTCCACTGGTCCTCAGGTCTGTTCCTTTGCCAGTACCATGCTGTTTTGTATCACAGTGGCTTTGTTGCATAGTTTCAAGTTGAGGGTTGTGACACCCCCTGCCATGTCTCTGTTGCCTAGAATTGCTTTTGCTATTCTGGGTCTCTTCTTGTTCCAAATGAATTTTGGGATTGTTTCTCAAGGTCCATGAAGTATGCTGCTGGAATTTCAATTAGGATTGCATTGAATCTACATAGGAGTTTTGGAAGTATGGCCATTTTCACTATGTTGATCCTACCTAACCAGGAGCAAGGGATGTCTTTCCTTTTTCTGATATCATTTTCAATCTCTCTTTTCAGAGTGCTATAGTTTTCAGAGAAGAGGTCTTTGATTTCTTTTGTTAGGTGATTCTAGGTATTTCAGTTTTTTGGATGCTATTGTGAAAGGAATTGTTTGCCCTGTTTCTGTCTCAGTGAGTCTTTTGTTCATGTAGAGGAAAGCTATTGATTTTTGTGTGTTAACCTTGTATCCAGCTACTTTACTGAATTTGGTTATTAAGTCTA